CAGGTGGTGAGCCCTTGAGAGTCCAACCAGTAGCGGCAGTCATGGTGTATGCGAACCTGTGCAAGCACCACACTCCATAATTAGATCTTATAGAGGGCTAGTCGTCCTTCTCACTTCATTTTGGTGAAGCGGACCCACCTGTACGCGAACCCGCGCAAGCACCACACTCTATCATCGGATCTCGTCTTTTTTTCTATGTTTTTTTTTTTTTAACAACCGGTCTCAGCCCGTTAGGGAGGGTGGTACGAGCAGCCCCCTCTAATAGGCCTACCGCCTGTTGGCCCGTTCTACAAGTGGGGGGCGGCACCTCCTGGAAACCGGGTCCAGTGTCCCAATATACATCTAAATTCCAATATACATCCTTGTTGCCATTTGCTGTGTCTGGGTGCTAGGGCCATTACCACAGAGGGGTAGTTATTCATTTTGGCAAAGCGCCCCACCCACCCTCGATATTCCCGAACGGGCCCACCTTCATGACACTTCTATGCGATCTGGCATCATCAGTGGACTCCTCTTTTTCTTTTTTATGTAGATCTCAGCTGTGCAAGTTCCACTATCCTCAACGCCATATTTTGTTTGTGGAGCTATGCAGAAAATTGAGTTGAGTTTCCTCAACTGGACACTTCCACAAACACATCCAGATTCGGGCGTTGAGGAAACTCAACGCCTGGGTAATGGTCCAGTACCTCTGTTGGCCCCAGTACCCCTGTTGGTCTCAATACCCCTGTTTTCTGGATAGACTGTGAGGACTTACACCTCTAGTTAAGTTAAACCACCAGTACTTGGCCCATCTATCGATGCTGAGCCTGGAATGCCCCTGCGTGCCGATTTTTGCCAAAGCGTCGGGGTACTGTTTCAAAATTGTTTTGGCTGGCGCTTCCAACCATTGAGGTCCAGTACCTTGAAGCCCTAAAGGCGCGGCGCGTTAACGGAAAAGCGCCGCGGCCGATAGCTGGGCCAAGTACTGGTGGTTTAAGAAAAACGGAAAATTGCATATGTACCCCACGTAAAAATGGGAATACCCGCTATACCCAGTCCCAACACGAACTTGCATCTATACCCCCCGAGGCCGTTCAATTTTGCATGGTACCCAACTTTTCCCTTGTACGAAATTGTAGGTGTACCTAATCCCGCAGGCCCTGGATTTGGAGCACAGAATTATGCTCATCCCCACCAAGTAGACTGTTGTGGCCCAACGGCTGCCGAGTATGAGCATAATTTAAGCCACAAAATTATGCTCATGCCCACCAAGTAGACTGTGGTGGCCCTACGACCGCTGGGTATGAGCATAATTTCAGCCATAGGGTAGCAGGGTATATGAACAATTTGGCCACTCCTCCTCAGGTCCCGGGCATGCCCATATATGTATATATATATATATATATATATATATATATATTAATCTATATTATTTTCTCAATTTATTTCATCTTTCTTGGTAGTACGCATCTATCTCATCCTCTCACTAGTCTATTTATAGTACGGGGGAACACCAACTAACCCGGATCTCTCCCCAGCCCATGGGGTAGGTTTGCACCACAACTGTGGTGCGAGAGCAAGGTTGTACCAGTCCCTCATCACGGTGACGAGGGGTGGGCAGGCAGGCATTGCCGATGGGGGAAATCAGCGGTGCTAGAGCCGAGCAATGGCCAGTCACTGCACCTCCCCCTACCTCCCCCCAACCCCACATGGTGGTGTCTAATGGCCAATATTGTCGCTGCATAGCAGCCAACAACATCAGCCAAGGTCCTGCCAATGCTGGCTTGGAGGCCAACGGGTTATCTCTAGCTGGTAGAACACCAAGCTTGCCGAGGCACGTACGTGAGGCCAATGGGGATTGAACCGACGACCTCCTGAATGCAACTTATATGCTCTACCAACTGTAACCGCGCATAGTGCGGGGGCGCAGCCAAGGGAGAGGGGTTGTAGAGGGGACAAAGTTTTGAGTTCCAAGGACAACGATAGCGGGCCGGAAGGCCAAAGTGGGGAAGGGATAAGTCCTCTCAGAAAGCTGGCGAGATGCACTGGGCCTTGTTTATCACACCTTACACATTATGGACGCCTGACTTTATTGCATTTTCAAAAGTTTTTTGTGGTTTGTACACTCTTTTTTGCCCACCCATACAAACGTTTTTATACACGCATTCAATGATCACTCTACCCCCTTGACTTGACTTATCTACAGAAACATCTAAATAGTAGACGTCAAGGCACAAAAGTGGGATTCAGTAGGGGCTTTGTTCCACGACCTTCGACTTAAACCACCAGTGCCTGACCCAACTATTGAGTCCGAGCCTCGGCCGACCGGTACGCCGATCCGTGCCGAGACTCGAACTACCGGGCGCAGGCATCCCGAACGTCGGAGTGAAACGAACGAAAAAAACGGAAAAAAAAAAAATGAAAAAAAAAACAAAAAAAGTATGGCAGTGTATATACCCCGCCGCCCCTCTCTCTCTCTCTCTCACACACACACACACACTCACACAAAAACAAGTAAGGCAGTGTATATTCCCACGCTATAGCGCCAGATTCATTCCATTTTGCTCATCCTAACAAGGGCGCAGTACCATGAGGCCAGC